CCCTGGCCTCACACCTCGCTCGCTGACCCTCCCCACCCCATTCTTGTCCCCAGGGGACAACCCAGTGCCTGGCAGGAGGCTGTGGAAGATGCCCACGAGCTCCCTCAGCGTGGGGACACGAAGGTGCCAGGGCTGTCCCCCCATCTGCAGCAGCAGCAGGTACCACCAGGGTCTGGATTCTTCATGCTGAAGAATTCTGCAGGAATAAACTGGATTTTCTCCAGACTCGTGGCCTTTCTTTCGCTCGGGGAAATATTGTGACTCAAAACCTGAAAATGAACAGTTTAGCATTGAAAGTATAAAATAAAATTTGAAGAAAGAGGACTTGGAAAGGATTGCCAAGAACAAACCCTTCTGCCCATCCCCACCACGTGCTGTGTCACGCAGCCCTGGCCAGGGAGGAGCTGAGGGTTTGCTGGCGTGGGGGTGGAACCAAAGGGACCTGGAGGAGGTCTGTAACACAGCAACCTCGTGGCACTGGTGGATCTTCTCCCACCTTCTCCAGGGGATGGCAAAGGGGGCCCTGCTTGCACTTGAAGAACACATGGCAACTTGATGGTGCCACAATGATGGCCAAATAGAGAATCAGTCAGGTTGGAAAAGAGCTGTAAGAGTGTCAAGTCCAACTGTCAACCCAACACTCCCATGTCCACAAGTGTTTTGAACTTCTCCAGGGGTGGGGACTCCAGCACTGCCCTGGGCAGCCTGGCACAGCCCTGGGCAACCCTCCAGGGGAAGAAATTGTTCCTCAGCTCCATCCTCAACCTCCCCTGGGGCAACTTGAGGCCGTTTCCTCTTGTCCTGTCTCCTTTCCATGTCACCTGTGCCTCAAGCACATGCCCCAGCTCTGGTGCAGGTCCCTGGGGCTGGATCCAGGTGCAGAGGATGCTTCTCAGCAGCATGGCACCAAAAGCACTTGCCCTCAATAAATCTGGGCCAACCTATCTGGAGTAACACTTTGGGGGCTCTGATATTTTAAGGGCTTCATAAATCCTTCCTTAGCTTCACCCTGCAAGTCCAGCTGCTCCTCTTGGGGTTTCTGAGCCACCCTCTCCTCCAAGGGCCCTGTGCTTCACTCCCCATCCAGGCTGACACTGGCCCCATCATCCTCAGAGAGCATCTGTTCCTATACCCATCATCTCCCACATTCCAGATCCACCTCCCTAGACCCACTGGCACGGCCTGAGGTGCCCTGATGAAGGGTGGAGTTACCAACCAGAGCTCCTGGAGACCCTTTGTGTTCATCCAGAGCTGGCACGTCCCACACCAAGGCAACCCAGCAGCCTCCTGCTCTCCCTTGGTGGAGTCCACCAGCACCTCCCTCTCCATCTCCTTCAGCAAGCAGCTCCAAATGGCATTTGGGAATTCTGCTGCTCCCTCTGCCACCCCTTTCCTTCCAGGGAGCAGAGCAGGAACAGGGCTGGCCATCCCTCACCTCCCCAGATGCCACAATCCACCTGATCTGATCACAATTCTGTTTCAAGAAGCTTTGCAGGAGGTAATCAGTTCTCCAACAAGGTCCTGACGTCAGCTTTTCATAAACTTGTGCTGGTTTTAGTAGTTTCTGGACCAAAATCCAGAAGATTGTACTGTTTCTGAACACATTTTGGTTGGAAGTGACCTTTGAGGTCACCGAGTCCAGCCATTAGCCAGGTGACCACGGAATACATTGCTCAGCACATCTCCACAGCTTTGGAGCCCCTCTCAGGGAGAGCTCTAGAGGCAGGTGGTCTCCCTGAGCCTCCTTTTCTCCAGGCTAACCATGCTGGCACAAAGAAGGGTCAGTCACAATGAACAGCCAGGGGGTAGATGGCATCAAACCATTTTGCTTTGCAAAGTCTCTTCAGAATCCAAGGCCAGCATGACCCTCCTGCTGTCCCACCACCACCACTGCTGCCCTCAGGGACCCAGGGAAGGGGAGGTGGAGACAGGACTCACTCTGCAGGAGCAGGAGGGACACAGACAGAAGGAGCCCAAAGGTTCATTAGTGCAATGCCAGCAGGACTTCACATGTTGGCAGCTAATTATGTTTCAGGGAATTGTCTCTTTTTGGCCACGATGGGGAGGTTTGACTTGTCTCAGGGGCCTTTGTTAGTCTGTTTTCTTTCTTGTACCAATCAGCTTGGATTTGTTTTAAATGTGTCCTAAACCAAGCTGGTGACTTTAAAAGCTCCTCCTGGTAGCTGGAACACGCCAAGCACAGACACCAATTCATGAACAACCCTCTTCTGAAGTCTTCAGGGCAGAGCCCCTCCACAAGCAAGCTGCAGGATCTGCTGAGCCAGAAGCAGAACAGCAACACTGGGTGTGTCTGGCCTCAGCTGGGGCTTAGCAGAGCCAAATAATCATCACAGCGTGGCCTCGACCCTCACTCCAGAGCTGGAGAAGACCCAAGTGATGAGACCAGCCCCCAAATCCCAGTATCCATCCTGCCTTACTGCCCACTCTGGTTCAGGTTCTGATTTCAGTTGTTCACCCTCACCAAAACT